GGTGCCACTGTCTACGATGATGTCGCGAGCAGTTCCTCAATGGCTTTTCCTCTGAGGGGTGCTGATAATAATCATCTGACCGCGGCGGGAAACCGTCTGTACCCCGCAGTGACGCACTATTTGCCCTCAATGGCGGAGCACCTGATAGTGGTGGCCGATGAATCCGGGTCCGTTCTGCCCCCAGAGCCCACCGATAGCGTTCGCAACAGTGTGCTCCCAGACCCCGAGACCAACAGTCAAAAAAATATTTACGTCCTGCACAGTACCCCCACTCAACCGAACACTACGACCACCACCGTCACCCCCACTGACAATGTTGGCAATTAACCTTTCTGCTGAATTTCTAGTTTTTGCTTTGAACCGCAGAGAAGGAGGTCGAGCTATCGACCATTCTTCTACACCTTGATCTCCTTCAGACCCGATGAACCTCTGTCCAATGAAACATAGCATGAATTCGATTTTATCGCGTCTTGCATGTCTTTACACACAACCGAAAGATTGGATTCTGTAGGTTACATCGAAAGGAGGAACAGGTTTTCGCCTAGTATGATTGATGAAAGAGCGTATGCACACTAACGCGATAACTGTTGAGAAGGGGCATAAAGCATCCACTTTAGTCGAGATATGAGAGCGCACTCTTTAACTTGACAATTAACTCATTAGAAAAGCACATTAATTTTGGCTGATTGTACCTCGTTGTTTTTCACCTCGAAGCCTCCAAGGCAAATCTTGTTTTTTTGGATAAAAAATGTCATGAGATCGAAAGACGAAGCCAATAAAATGGTCAACGCAATCAATCTCAAGTAATCGAACAATTTATGCACGCAAGTTAGATCAGTAAGTTTTGGGTGAGTGTTGCTGATCGTGCGATCGATATCTGATGATCGATAGTATTAGCGTGTTCGGAAAGTAATTTCGCTCTTGACGACCTTCTGGTTGAGACTATTTAAGCGGATCCACGTCAAAGCACAAGATATTTGTGGCAAAAAATGTGAGGTATCATGTTAAAATATTTCTCTAGCGAATTGAATAAACGTTCAGAGGGTGATATTGAGTTCAACAGGAGCTTACACGTGCGATTCGAAACCTGGAGTTCCAACAGATTCAGCACTCTTATAATCAGGAATAAGAACCTTTTATTTCTGCATCGAATTTTCGCATGTTTTGTATCAAAACCGGAAATTAAAGTGAAAATAATTATCACGTACCGAGAAGTCAGTGCCCAATCCAAGACCAGAACTTCCTCTGCATAAAGACTCGCTGGGTGTTTGATGGAGCATGAAAGATATCATTCGTTATGGATTACTGGAACGTGAAAGGACCCTTAATGCAGACGTCTACTACATCTAACTTGATCTTTGACGCGAAAAAGTACGTACAATTAGTATTGCTTTAGTAAGAAATGTGTTCCTCTCCAGCCTGACAATACGTGGGCACACACCGCAGGAAGGGATATGATCGCTAGGATTGGAGGTTATTCTATATCCTGCATACTCATCTGACCTAGCCCTCACCGATAACTGCCCTCCAGTATACATTTGTGCATACAACTGCATTTGATACTTAAGGTTTATTGTCTTCGCTGTCAATCAGACGATCTTGAATA